ATATATTAAGAATTATCAAAATTAAGTCATTTATTCTTTTCTCAGTTTTTTAAACTGTTGTCATTCGCATTAAAACCAGGGCATAAACTAAAACTATTCAAAACACTGTTAATCACAGTATTACAAGCTAATTATAATTACATGCAAAAATGCACCAAATAAAGGAAATTCACTGACGAATAGAAACATGCAACACACTCTCTCACCCACACACACACTCTCTCTCTCTCTCTCTCTCTCTCTCATATACTCTCACTCACCAACTCTCTCTCTCTCTCTCTCTCTCTCTCTCTCTCTCTCACCAGTGGTTTATTAGCCTGAGGGCAGGACAGAAGCAGACTCATCTGTGTTTAAAAATCCATTACCCACAGTGAATCCTCCCACAAACCACCTCTCACTAAACACACACACTTAAAGGAAAAACCACAGTGGATGCATTACACCGGACGGCAGAGATTATGATTCTCCTAAAGCATTTTATAGAAAATCCAGTGTCTGAATGACTGAAAAACAAAACACAACCCATTTACTCACAAATGACCAACAACATACACCAGACCAGACCAGGGTTATCATAGTTTACTCAAACTAAAATCATTAAAAAAAGATTATTGTTAAAAAAAAAGTAATAAAAAAACTACTTATTTTACAAAACATTTTATTTCAGCAAGCTCGTTTTAATTTATATTGATGTACCTAATGTACTAAATTAGGTCGGATTCACATATAGCGCCTAACAACGCGTAGAAAATGCTGGGCGCGCCGCATTCTCCTGTCACGTGACCTACTGTGCGTTTATGGTGCGCTTGCGTCATTCTGATAAGTTGAGATGTTTTTATCTCGACGCGCTTGGAAAAAACGAGCGTGTCGCTTCCATTGTGAGAAATAACGAACTTGAGCGCGCAAAAGATGCGATATGTGAACAGGTCCCGATTAACACCTATAGTGCGACTAATGAAGCCCTTGATTAGCGAGACGACACCCGTTTTGCAGATCTGTGTGGGATTCTATTCATTAAAAGTTGCATTTTCAGTTGAATTTGGTGAAACCACTTGAAACATTTGGTTTTTTTTTAATTCATATTTTTATTTAGCCTGACTTCGTCATACTGAAACCGCTCTAGGCTTTGATTATGAGGCGTGTCGTAACCGAACCAGGACAAAAAAACAACTCTGCACTCAATTGGATAGTCGGTAGACCTACCAACCAATCAGAGCAACGCATAAGTCAACTCCTTTGCATAGCGCAGTTTTCAAATACAGAACGTAGCCTAACTTTATTTATTTTAGAAGTTAAATAACGAGTGTTACTTTCTTTTACTTACTTCTCCATCAGTGCCACCAAAGGAGAAACCACAACGACCACAGGCTTTTCATCTTCTTAGCGACCGTCAGAGCCAGCTGATAAGTTACACTTTTGCCGAATCACGTAGGAAGGACGCCAAAAATATCTTTCCGATCGACAAATGCCTTGATTGCAGTTCTCTGTTTGTCTATTAAAATGAATGCGCTGTCGATTTTTTTTTTTTTTTTTACAAAAGACGCGACAGCGGAATCTCAATTCTCCAGCTGCTCTCATCTTTGACAAGCGCACTTTGATGACGTTATGTTACTGAAGACCAGAGCCAAGACCACCTGTCAATCATCGTATAAAGCCCGCCCTGGCAATTTGATTGGCCCGATGATTTCTGAACCGATCATAATTACGATCAGTCCAGACCGAACTTCCCGTCCAAAAAATGTTGTGGGCGGACATAGACATATACACTAGACCTCACCTGGGGGTTCTAAGCATGCGTCAAAACCGCCGCCATCTTGGAACAGGGTCTTGTCATAGGAAGTTGCTAGGTAACGCTGCTATCTCTGCCTTTACTTCGAATTCATTGATGGTGGCGGACTTTTGTGCAGCGTATGAAGTTCACGGATGAAATCCGAACTAGGAAGAATGTTTTTAAAAAAAATATATATATATTTTTTCTTTCTGGAATCAATGATAAATACATGTCTGACCGTTGGAACGAACCAAAAAAACTAGAAAAATCGCATTCATGATGATTTATGGTGATTTTATTTACGTTAGACCTGTGTCTACTACATTGACGCTGATGCATTAAAGTGGAGGGGCTCCCCTGTTTCAAGATGGCGGCTCTATTGACGCATTCGTTCTAATGAACTGCCGTATCCAAGATGAAGTCTAGTGTATATGTCTATGGTGGGCGGAGTTCGGGTAATTTTTACAGGTAATTTTCGTCTAATTTTTATTGCGAGCCATGGCACAATGAAAAATACATAACTTCAAGGTCACTTGAAACATTTGTGAGGAGCCATTTCAATAACGTTTTGTTTGACTAGTTCAGTGCAAACCGCCGAGAGTGTGTTCATTTAGCCTGATTTGAAATGGGGGTTGAAAACTTTTGATTACTAACGCACAAGTGAACCAAACGGCGAACAGAGGAGAGTCGAGGTCGAGACGGAGCTCGTAATAAAACAAGAACCAACAT